ACGTCACAGTGCATTATGGGTATTCTCTAGCCGGTGAGTGTACGTCGGTTGTGGGATTGAATGAGTCCACAATGGTTTCAGACACCACTACAAATGTTTTTTTCCTCAAATAGTGCCCTATTAAAGAGTTTAGGGGGCGATTTTGGACACAGACATTATTTTCGCAATTGTTTGGTGTTCCACATTGCTGGTAAGAAGTATTTTAACACTAAGTTTTACCCGATGTACGGGTGTAACTGGAAAAATTAGAACATCGTCCAAAAGTTCATTTATTTCAGTAATTCAACTTAAAAGGTGAAACTAATATATTATATAGACTCCTTACATGCAAAGTGAGATATTTCAAGCCTTTATTTGTTATAATGTTGATAATTATGGCTTACAGCTTATGAAAACCGCCAAATTCATCAAAATTACAACAAATAAAGGCTTGAAATATCTCACTTTGCATGTAATGAGTCTATTTAATATATTAGTTTCACCTTTTAAGTTGAATTACTGAAATAAATGAACTTTTGCACAATATTGTAATTTTTCGAGTTTCACCTGTACATCTGCCATAAGTGTATTACCATAAACATGTTTTTTCTTTCTTTTTTACAAACTGAGGAATGACTGAAAACGATTCTCTGGGGTAACTGACGGCATGCCACAGATGTGCTGTATTAGACCAAAGCATTCCTTCACCGTACAAAGTAATTTTGCACGTTTCTAAATGCATCCAGTTTTGATCGGTGTTCATTATGATGTGTGGACTGAGTGAAGAGTGTGTACTCAGAGCTGCTCTTGTGCACAGGTGTCTAAAGCTGATCGCCATAGGAAAGCAAACAAAGGAGGCCTAGAGCATCATGCCGAAACACAGAACTGTTCACATTTACAGCCAGTCCTTCACAGTGATGGGATCTATAGACCCAGTTTCTATTAGGGCTGTCACTTTACGTTCGAAAATCGATTGCACAATTGATCGGACCAACCAACACAAGTGTCGAAAACGAAAATAGGGAATCGATTTTAACAGCCTTTTTTTTTTTTTTACCAAAAATTAGGTGTTTTAGGTGGACAGATCAATACAGCACACAGAACATGTGGGATGCTGGACAATAACAATGTCTTTTCTGTTCACCAAATGCTTTTTAATATTCGCTATTACTTCAATGCAAGTGAACAAGCGCGCCGTTATCTGTTGCGTAGTGATGTGTGTGTGTGTGTGTGTGTTCAAGTAAGCCAGAAATGTGCAGATTCTGCAATACGCTGTATTTAATATATCATGAGGATCACGAGTTGCGTATTTGCGCTAAATCCGCGCAGATTTGTCTTACACGAACTTCCCCAGCAAAGTGAGTAAACACAGAAACACGCCAGATTGGCTCGTGATTTGACAGCGTTTCCCGCCAAAGTTCATTTGTACCCGCATTTGGCGGGTCGAGGGAGTTAATCTCAATCCCTGAATGTTGCGCTCCTGTTTGTCATTGTGCTGAAACTTCACGCCAATAAATCATCAGGAATATTGCTGACTTGTGCGTCTCAAGCGCCCTCTTTACGCTCGTCCTAATGCCTGTTAGGTGTCCGTGGATTTGCCTGTATTTGGTGTTGAAAATGGAAACGCCTTTAGATGGAAAATCGAGTTTACAATCGATTCAATGAACACTTACGTCTCAAAAATCAAACAGGATTTTTTCACAAAAGTGACAGCCCTAGTTTCTATAGATTGGTGTAAAGTGAAAGTCCCTCGATCAATCTCATCTGTGTAAGTGAGGGCATTCAGAGGACAGAGGGGCGATTAAGTCTGACAGACACGCATGTATTTCCAAGGCTTCAAATTTGAGCCTTCAAAATGACATTTCGTAATCACATCTATCATAACAATAACAAGGCGACAAAAGATTTTCAATTTTTGAACCAAACTTTAAAATATTAATAGAGGACCATATTAGCACCATCTTATTAAATAGAGCAAACTCATTTTACAGATATGCTGTTTTATGAATGCAACAAATTGGGCAAAAGTGGATTTTTTTTTTAAATATAACTTAAAATAAAAAATTTAAGTAGCTATTATAGCAAAAAATGATGAACAGTAATCGACTACATTTTGGTCCAATGGCTGATGGAAATATCTAGAGAGGAGAAAGGCTAATATAATGCCAATATATATTAAATGCATATATGGCAATACAATATGACAAAAAGAAAATCACAACAGAAAACATAATATACACAAAATGTACAAAAATAATTAAAATAATAAGATATTTTGAAACTGACACAAAGGGCAACAAAATAATTGTGTTCCTGTGCCAAAGCAATGACAATAATCTTATAAAAAGGCCAAGAATCGTCTGAATAATTGACTTACTCACTGGGTCTTGTATGGCACTATTGCAAGAGGATCAACATATTTATGTTTGAAAACTCTTGAACAAACATTTCCCAGAGAAAACTCAATGAGAGCATGAAGTACTACTCTACTGCCCTACATGCACAACATAAGCCCATTATGGTGCCAGGAGCCGAACTAAAAGGTACTCAAGGGTCCGAATAAAGATCAAATTATATAAATATGGCTGCCGAGGGCCTCATGAATCAATGGAATAGATGATTTGTAAAGGAAAAACATCCCCAAAACATAACGTGTTGCATTATATGTGCAGCGTAACAGGAGAAGCGCGTATTAGAGCGGGACCAACTTAACTCTGAGGGATTACGGAGCCACCGGAGGTTAAGAGGACTTGTGTCGAAAGGCAGCCGGTCAGGCTTTTAAGAGTCGATAGGCACTTGGTTTTCTACATGTATTTTGAAGGTTATGAATCGCTTCACCCAAGCTGGAATTTCATTTCTGCGAACAAGCAGAATATCAAAAAAAAAAAAAAAAAAAAAAAGGCAGATAAAGGAGCGTTTGTTCAAGAGAACCAAAAAAAAAAATCCAGAAGAATTTGCCCACAATATCAACGAAATTGGAAGTTCAATGTTATTTTCTAGTTCACTATAATAAATGAAGTGTGGCTTATAGAACACTCATATTTCATCTCATATTTGCATGAAATTAGTGACAGAACGACAGCATGTCAGCCAGCTGGGAGGTGATTGTAGTCTTTGAAGTCACATGACTTTTTTTTTTTTTTTTGTCATATCAAATAATTGATTGGTAAACATGTTTTCATTATAATGTATGTACATGTATTTCTTTTTAGCAGAATATAGAGGGTGTGAATGACTGACATCTGATAGCTTGATCTAAAATGACCCAGTTTGCAGCATGTCAAACCGGACCGGATTAGCTTTTAGGGTAATTGTCTGTAAATTAATTGGTCGACGTCTGTAATGTTTATCATCAATTAATGCAGGATGAGCGATATTAGGATTTGTCAAGACGGGTGTGTCTACTATACACTGCCGACAAAGGTAATTGACCTAACGCAACATTTATTTCTGTACATATGTAATTATGCAAAAAAAAAAAGAGAATATATGAGAGATTATTAGGAATATATCATTAAAATGTCTTTATTTTTTCACGTTAATTATTAGTGTTTGATAAAACTAAAGCTTCAAAGAATGATTCCTCATATAATGTCTTGTCGATTCGGCATGAAACGGGAGTTGCAATCGTCTTTTCTTTGGTATTGTGACGCATATCCGGTTGAAACGGCATCAAACCAAAAGGGTGGGAGTGCGACTTGATTTTGTCTATCAGAAATTGATTAACTTATTGTCATTAGCTAATTGCTGAGATCTTATATGAGTGACAGGTTGCTGGAAGAGAGGGATTTTGGGGATTTCTTATCATCAATCATGGATTATTCTTTCTACTGCAATATTCCACAAGAAATAACAATTTTAATTTCATTGTGATTAAGTTTGTGAACTATTGGCATTTTTTTTTATTTCAAAGTTGTAAATAAAACAAAAGATTATTGGAGTACATTTTACAAGAAAATACTGTTGTTGTTTTTTTACTTTAAAATTGTACATTTTCTTTGTAATTATATGTGACATTTACCAGAATTGTGAAACTAAATCCTATTTTGTCATTTTTCACAATTTAAAAAACGTTTGACACTGTACGTATCCCAAACATTGCTTTGAGTGTTTTGGAAACATCAGATTCTAATAATAGTAACACAATAAGGAAATACAGCAGGGAAAATAGGAAAAAGTGGGCACTTTCAAAGAACATGAGAGCCTAAAAAAACACTTATGAAACTGGGTTTACAACTAATGGGAGGGTTTCTAATGAGCAAAAGGCGGAAAAGGAGAATCAGCATCTACAAGGAGTAAAAACGGAGGGCTGTAGTACCTTGACATCGCTTTCGCTTGTGACATTTAGCACTCGTCTGATATCCGCTCCATTTGAATAGAAAGGGGAGGTAGAATGGGGGGAAGTGGGAAAGAACTAACAAACCAAAAACAGTCAATGGTCACGTTATTGGCAATAACACCTCGCTAGCACAACACACTAACCATTAGTTTAATAAAAAACAACTACCAGACTGTGTTGTACTGTATAATATTCAGCTCAAAATACAAGTAATACCATCATATTGTGTTGTTATTCCAACAGCACAGCCACTTAAGCAAAGTTTCACATGAAAATCCTGCTTCTCACTTAAGACAGTCTTGTATTCCTGACGAGTTTACTGCGTTTTGAATTATGGGTGGCACTTCCGGTTTGGGGAACTTCCATTCAAAAAGGCTGAAACGAATCATTTCAAATCATAAGCTTGCCCTACAAATAAAGCTGATCCGTCAGTTTGACTGGATGAGCAGTCAGTTTTCCTTCATGATTTATTTTCAGACATCATGAGAATAACGTTATACTTGATATTTTAACGTGACATGATATAACAAGAACAAGCTCTTTTCAGTCGCTGCTTTCTTTTCCTCATGATGATTTTCTTTTTTTCCTTTGCAATCCGCTGTAAAAGTATGAAAAGGGACAACATATACGGCACATCTGTGGTCTATTCTCCCGAATTTAATTTACGATATTCCATTAATAATTCACTGGAATGGACGAAGAATCTCTCGTTATTCTCCTCAAATCCTCACGTCTCTTTCCAGGTTTGTTTTCACAGGGAAATGCAATTTATAATCTGTCAAAATGACGGAAATCACTTTGATATAGTGTCACGTAATGCTGAAGTTAATGAACATTTTTGATTAAGGCTTGTTATACAATACAGATATATATATATATATATATTAGGGGTGGAACGGTACACAGAAGTCACGGTTCGGTTCATACCTCGGTTCAGACATCACGGTTCGGTACGATTTCGGTACAATGGAGTGAATAGCAAAACAAAAATGCAGAAGGCTTTTTTATAAATGTCTTAAGCCTTGTATTTTTTATATACGTTTTATTAATAAAGGCATAGAACCAGTTTATTTGTAGTGCACTGACAGTAGTTTTATATTATTAGTTTATTAATTAAATTATTAAAAAGACCATGAGATATGTTTGGTAATTGTACCTGAATGAATTTAAAATTAATTTGCTATTTCAGATCAATATATTTGTTTTCCTTCATTTTAATTAACCCTAACTTTATTCTCATCTGAATGATAAATAATTGATTTCCGTATAAAATAATACTACCATTAAAAACTTTTGTTAACAGTTGTAGGTTACAGTTTGACATGAGTTTAGAGTGTGACAAAAGCACAATGTTGTGTTTTATTGCGAGTGTACACAAATATAAGTAAACAATTTGCCGTTTTAATGATGTCCTGTAGGAAAAAAATGACGGAGTATGTTTTTATGTTTCCACTGTTCGATCGCCCGTGCCTCTCTCACACACACACACACTGTCCGATCGCGCGATTCGCGCCCGCGCCTCTCTCTCTCTCTCTCTCTCTCTCTCGCACGCGCACGCACACACACTCTCTGTTCGATCGCGCGATTCGCGCCCGCGCCTCTCTCTCTCTCTCTCGCGCACACACACACATACACACACACACACACAGTGTTCGATCGCGCGATTCGCACCCGCGCCTCTCTCTGTCTCTCTCTCTCTCTCGCACACACACACTCCAGCATTGCAATCTTGATCGCAGCCTGTTCATTGCTGCGTTCACAGTCAGTCACACCAAAAGCGAATAGAGCGAAATTTATCGCTATTTAAGAGGTTTTTTTTATTTGTACCGTGTATTCTCCGTGCAAATTCGTGCACCGAACCGTGACGCCCGTAGCGTTTCGGTTCAATACGAATACATGTACCGTTCCACCCCTAATATATATATATATATATATATATATATTAGGGATGGCCCGATACCATTTTTTTTCAAACCGATACGAGTACGAGTATTTACATTTGTGTACTTGCCGATACCGAGTACCGATACCGATATTTCTACCGCAAAAGTAATAGGCTCCCAGAAAAGAAGACGACTATTTTAGAACACAGGTTAGAAGACTGTTTTTATTTTCTTCTCTGCTTGTTTTAACAAGTCTAAAAATAAATAAAAATTAGTAAAATAATAAATGTATTAACACACAAACCACTGTTAATTTAACATAAAAGCAAGCAGGCTACTGCGTGCATGGTCTGGCATGACTGAATGCGCGCAAAGTGCGCTCCCTTAATAAATCCTAAAAGCTGACAGTTCATCACGATCTCACACATCTCTGTTATTATCAATGAAGCTGACTGCACAATCAATCTTTCATAATATCCACACTTTGTTTGTTATAATTAGAGGATTTGCCAGCATACAGAATTCAGCACTGAACAAAAAAGTCCGTTTTGAGCGGTGAGGGGAGTCTATCTTAAATGCTTCTGATTGGCCATTGCGTTCCAGAAATCAACACATATGTCTGTGATTGGCTACATCGCTCAACGCTGTAACCATGTTATGAATAGAAACTCTGTCCTGTAAATCGTTTCTATTTTGTTGTAGTTGTTCTTGTTGCTTTTCTGCAAGAGATGAATAAAAATCTTTTAGTTTTTATGTTTTATTCATAGATATTTCTAGTTTGCGGGAGTCCCGCGAATCGTTTTATTCTCCCGTAACCCGCACACACAGAGTGAGTGCATTACCACCCGCGCGCGCGCTCGGCCATCAGATCTATGATGCGTCTTCAGATGTTTAGATTGCTGGTGTTAAACGATGTACTTTCTTTCCCTCCTCTCGACACCTTAGCTGAACATAACTCACAGTCTGCCTTGCTGTTGTCATCATCCCTTATCTTGAAATGAGCCCAAACCGCCGACATTATACTTTCCTATGCCTCAGTTCACCTCGACAAAGCACTCGCGGCGGCCAGTTTCGTTTTGCAAAATGTACGTGGTATCGGTGCGTGGTATCGGCGAATATTTATGAGTACGAGTACGAGTATATTAGGACAGTATCGGCCCGATCCCCGATGCCAGTATCGGTATCGGGCCATCCCTAATATATATATATATATATATTTGCCTACTATAGTATAACCAAAGACTCGCACTTTTGGGGCTATTTGGTCTGTTGAAAGTGCCTTGTTGATTCTTTTACGCTTTTAAATTTCCTTTTAATGTTCGATGGTTGAAGGGTGAGTCGATTAATGTCATCTCATTGTGACACTTTTTTAACGTATTGCGTTCGTAGAGCGAGCCTTTCACTGATTGTTTACAGCTTAACGGAAGTTACACCCATAATTCATGCAAAGCGTCATGCGGCGCAGGAATAAGGTGGATAGAGGTCTTTTTAAAGGATTTTCATGTGAAAGCATGTGATATAACCCAGGACACACATTTCTCATATCATTTAAGTCTCAAACCAATAAATGTTGCAAAAGTAAAGACACGGTGAAAACACAAATTCACTTTATCTTCTGTCATGTAAATTACAAAGTTTGCATAAACTCGTACATTAAATATATCAACATAATTGGTCTTTTATCAATTCAGTGTTTAAGAGAGATGTTGTTTTGTAAGCTTCAACCATTCCCCGACCGCATTAACAAGCTCAACATATGCTATAATAATCGAATATTGCTATATTAATCTTATTTGGTCATATTCCAATTATGCATCTATTGTGTAAACGACGTTAACACAACTACCTAAAGTAGATAAAGCCACTGTGTGACATGAAGAAGACTGAACAAGTTGATTAAATGACAGTAGTGAATTGCAAAATATGCAGTGTAATAAATGGCAAGAAGAATATCTCAAAAAGAATATATCAGAAAAATTGCTGATATTATACAGCTTCTGTACACAGGGAAATCAGAAAATTGTGTGCATGTAAACATGGTCTATTTCTAAATGATTCAGTAAATCGAATGCTATTTTATAGAGAGCAATCACTCCTCTGCGAGGCTGTATTATATATATTTTCCTTCGCTCCCTTTATTTCTTATAGACAAACCAATGTGGAGCTTTTCTCTACATTTTCAATAAACTCAAGCACTCATTCCGCTCTCATCAGATTTATCTCCACCCAGTCCAAGCGGCATTTGAGTCATGAAGGTTTACAGTTTTCAGCAGTCTGCATCTTTTAAAAAAAAAAGGAGATTTATTACACTATCAAACACAATAAGTGTGGCATATAAGAGAAAGTTGTGTCCATAATAACTCTTTGAATGTTAAAACACTTTCTCGTATCTCATGCAGAGTCAATTATAAGTAAGCTTTTGGCAGATTGACTTTTTGAAGATTGTAAACACTTTGATGGTCTTGAAAACTGACGTGCGTCATGTGTGATCAAAAGTGACACTCAAATAAATAGTTTGGACTGAAAATAAAATAAGCTACAGCTGAAAGATGTGATTTAGACGGAGAACAACAGAGGTCCCAGTACAGAACCCTGTGGGACTCCATAATGAATGATGAAAATTTACAGCTTATTCAATCAAATCTGCTATCCTGGTAGGACAAAAACTGTAAAAGTGCAGCTGAGAGATTTGCACAGACTGAATGGGGCAGATTAGGCAAGTTTTTCTGGTTCTTTACTTGTAATTAAAAGCTAGACTCCAGTGGGCATTCTTGTGACTCAATGTTTAAATACACATTGGGTGTAATTGTGCACGACCTACATTCATCTCCTCATGAGTACTCTTAAGTTCCCTGCAAGACAGTGAACATAAAATGTAGTGTAGCTTAACATAAAGGAAGAGAACCGGTTCCAAGTACCGGTGGTACCGAGTACCCGGTCAAACCCGGTTCTGGATGCGCATGAATGCACGAAGGGCGTGAAGTTGTGTCCTCTTCATGAAAGCGCTGAGACATGGCGACCGGTGGCGCTGCTGATGTGGTGTTTGTGTATAATAAACTGCAAAAAGACTATTTAAATATTAACCCTTCATGTTTTGCTTGTCTCTGTGTGAATGAACGACGCAGACGCGCGGTTTCATTTAACGTTACCTCACACACACACTGAAGCACGACGTGACGCTCGCGCTGTTTTCAGTCTCTGCTGCCTCACGATATGACATGATTCATGACTCATCTCCGAGAGTCACTTCATGAGCATTTTACAGTTTCATTTGAGAAAAACGATCGTCATATCATACATGCACAGAAACTCAAAGGTCTTCACGGCAACCCGTCAAATTAAAAGTTTGGTTTAACTTAAAGAAATTGACAGAAATAATTATATGAGGCTACTGTACAATAGATTTAACTACGTCTCCACTAATTAAAAATACTACTACTAATAATAATAATGTGTGCATAGAAGGTTGCTTATTTTTCACTTGATTTTTTTTATAAGCAATATTTCTCAATATCATATTTTCATTTAAACAGCATGTAGCCTTCAATGCTTTCATAAATTTACCGTCATAAATAATAAAGTCATTGAATTGAATTTAATATTTTTTTCAAAAAGTTGGAAAAATAGTTCAAACTGATTTGCTGTGGTACCGAAATTGGTACCGATACCATTAAAATTTTACGGTTCTCGGCTACTGGAATTTTGGTACCGTGACATCCCTAGAGGGGACCAATCACAGAACGGGGAGGGAGCAGCAAGATGATGACGACGTCTATGCGACACACCGAAGCAGTAGGTTTATACCCATGGATCCAACATGGCAGCAGACGCGAAGTTACCTTTCGATGCAGCCTTAGATACATACGCCATCGTGTACACATAAATCTCTGACACATGATCGTCTTCTTCCTCGTCTAATTTCTGTCGCTCTACATACGTCATCTGGTATAATTGAAACGATTGGCTATGAGTCGTACAGGCGCATTTGATAGACATTCGTAGCACCCAATAAACGTCTCTGGGCATTCGTAAACCACGCCTCAAATACGAGAAAATGATCATGTGGTTCCCAGTAGAGCCCGACCGATATATCGGCGGGCCGATATTATCGGCCGATTTTAGGCATTTTCCTAACTATCGGTATCGGCATTTATAATGGCCGATAAATGAATATTTTTAAAAAATGCGGGTGCGCTTTTTATAGGGCCATTTTGCATTAAAAGTAGCCTAGTTTCACGTTTAGTACATTTTGCTTACTAATTATTTAAAATAGTATAAAAGTACTACTGTACATATGTAATTAAAAACGTTTTCATTATGATATTATTAATTTTACTTTAGTAAAAAGATCTGAGTTCTTCCTCCACTGGTAGAGATTAGAGGAATTAAGAGTAAAAATATAAGATAATAAGGTTTTGTCAGTGACACTTTTTATATATTTATTGATACAAGTTATGACTAAATTAAAAGACAAAGTCGTTAGTGAAGATTATGCAACAGTATTTAGAATATAATATAACATGCAATGCAAACTAGTTTGGTTACAGCTCAGCTGTATAATTCTCATTCTATCATTCCCCCTGCCTCCATTACATATCTGTGTCACACAAGTGTTTGATTACCACATTTGAGTGATCATTGCAAAACGTGTTTATAAAATATATTTAATCTGTTTATAGCGACTGTGTAAAGTACCCATCAAAAGTTTGTACACACCAATAGGAAAGTGTCCAAACTTTTGACTGGTATACTGTACTATAATACACATAAATAATATTGCTACTGTATTATAATATACACATAAATAATATCGGCCGATATATCGGTATCGGGTTTTTTTACTCCCTAATATCGGTATCGGCCCCCAAAAATCCATATCGGTCGGGCTCTAGTTCCCAGACCACGTCTCAATCTCAATGAGACGAGGTCTGACGTTAGCCAGGCTACTTAAACCCGGTTGTAACATCTCAATGTGAAGAGTCACAATGACTCAGTGGCACTTTTACAGATTTTCTTCTTTTTGCAAAAGCGTAATTTGAGGACATTCTCAGTATCAGTGTCCTCTCTTCAGGCCTTCTGTCTCTGACAGTCTAGAGCATCTGTGCAAATTCTCCTTTATCCTCAAGTTGACTTTTGTCTCATTGAATATCTCTAAAGACCCAGTCGTGTTTGAACTCCATTATCCTATTCAACTTATTTTGCAACGTGGAAGAAAGCTGTTTTCTGTGAATGCACAAGACTTCCGATTCATTAGCATCACCATGATGGATACTCAATTGTGGGGTTGTTTTTTTTTACAACTATTTAGTTTCCATCATTGCTCCCATTCACTTTTCAAAGCTAAATGACAATAAATGTAATGCAAATATTTAAAAAATCAGAAAGATCTTTATTGGGAGCACTATGCCATCTTGTCGATGTTTAACTACAGACATTGTTATAGAACATTTTAACATTCAAACAAATTGATTCAGCATTTCTTCAGTCAGAAGTTATTTAAATGCATAGTGAATGTAATCCACAGCAATCAATGCCCATATGATATTTGTAATTAATTTAATTGTTTTTTACGCTGAAGTGACTGAAGCTACTGTGCAATGCAACATTATGTAGTTTTGACTATCCAGTTTTATGCATTCTAGTGTTTTGTAACATTATTTTACTCCCCATATTTGCTGGATTGAGACAAGCCAGTTTTAGGAGTTGGTTTGGAGCAGATTATTTCAGTACGGGCATATTTTGATGGAAACACACAGTGTGTGAAACACAGTGGAAAAGGGGCTTGTGTTTTTATGGATCGAACTGAAAACAAACAAAAAAAAGTGTAAAATGCCTTTGATGTAAATGTTATCATGATGTTTTAGAAATTGCATGAAGATCATTTCAGTCACGGACGCTATGACATACACACAAACATACACACAGTCACACACAAACAGTCATTTTTCAACAGATACTGACAATAAGGGCAGGTGTGACGTTGTCACGAACAAAACCTTGCTGATGGATCCTTCATTTGTTTTTCAAATACTTCTAAGCTAACAAACAGCCTCACACACAGGAGGAATGCTCTCTCTTTACCATTACAACCAAATGATGTGCTAGTAGTGAATTCGCTCACCATCTTTTCTGTCCACAGTATGGGCCAGCGTGTCAGTCTCAAAAGCGTCCTGTACCTGTTGTCCTCGGAAACATGTCAGGTGCTCCTTCTCTATGAGTTCGCTCTCGTCCTCCTCTACAGGCGTCCATGTGCCATCAATGAACCACTGGCCTCTCATGACAGGGATGCAATCCTGTTCTACAAGGTGGGAGACACAAATAATGATAGAACAGTGAAGGACACAGAAAATAAGTAAGAAAAAAAAACATTCAACAATCAAACATGCATTAACCTTGGGTAAATTGTATTTTAAAGGGGCCCTTTTCCACCTTTTCAACTTAAGTTAGTGTGTAATTTTGCTGTTTGAGCATAAAAAATATCTGCAAAGTTACATAGCTCAGAGTTCAATGCAAAGGGAAATTTTATTTTATTTAACACGATTCACAGGAACTACAAAGAACGTCTCGTTTGGACAACATGAAGTCATAATGTTACTCATTTAAATAATCCCCACGCACGGATTACACTAAAAGTGGACGAGGCCTGGTTGAGCTGCATTAGAGAAGACAGCGCTGTCGCTGTCAAAGAGACACCACAACGTTCCCAAAACTCATTTGTTTGATCTTCCGAAGGCTGACGAACTCGGAGTGGTTAAAGCTTATTTTAAACACTGTTCCTGAACATTATAACCCCGACGTTTATCTGTGTGCTGCAGTTTTTATGGAGAACAGCTTGTTTTCTGTTGCTTTTGTAAGCTTTTGCTTTTGTAAGACGGTTCAGTGCTCCTAAGAAAATGAACCATGGTTTTGTGGACGATTACTGTTTGTATTACCTTAGTTTTCCGACAAATATCATGATTAAATGGTGGATAACATTGTATCTCAGGGCTCTAGAGTGCGACCAATTTGTAAGGGTGCGACGAGAATTTTTCCTAGGTCGCACCAGTGCACCTAACGTTCTTGCATGATCGCATCATCCGCTGCCCCTCCACAAACGAGTCTTTTGTTCTGCTTGCACGCATGGTTGGATCATATCGTGGTCTAAACCAATCAGAGATAGAGATTGGGCGGGTCTTTGCCTCTGATTGGTTGTGGTTCAGATATTCCTGTAGGACTAAAATGCTCCGTGCTGCGCCTGCGTGATTGAAATAAATTGTGACCTGTGCACCAGAGAATCACGGCAATCAGCAGCATCAGCTAAATAAACGCAGGAAAACAGACGACGAAGAAACTTTTAAAAACGTAGGCTACTTGAACTAGGTAAAAAATATTGATTTCTCGATTTTAATCGATTCTCATTGATTTTTACGAACCGTTGGGCTATGCTGTTTTCAGTTGATGGATGAATGAATGGAACATTGTAGCGAGCATCCCATCCAATAAATCGCAATAATCTTTGTGCTTTGTTACTATTGATATGAAACAAAGTCTCAGATTTCAAATTAGGTCCATTTTCTTACGAAATTCAAAAACATAAATAGTGTTTTGGCGCTGTGGCGTGAGATCGCTCTGGCTCAGCTCAGCTCAAGAGAAGCACATGATCTCCTCTTCTGCCTTTATAATACCAGTTACAGCACGAAATAAACATGAACGAGCATCTGAAAGTGTGTTAAAAGATAGCGTACAACTTATCGAAATCCGTATCATGTCACATGGAATCGCTCAATCGGTGTTTCAACCGTGGAAAGACGTCAGTAAAACGCTTGTAAACAATGTAATGTAACGTCACATTTACCTCAGAAAAAAACATATCCAGTGACTATAAACTCGTTAGCTAGCTAGAAAAATTAACTCTAGAGGAGCATTGTGCCTAATATATGCACCATATTACATATTCATTATCATTTTTAATGTTTTTCAATATTGAATGCATGTTGTTTGAAAAAAATCTGGCAAGTTTTTATGCAGCCACCATTTAAATGTTTATATTTCATATAACTTTATTATTATGAAAATAAATAAGTGTAATTTAAGTGTTTGTGTACAAATCAGCTTCAATATTATAGTAGGCTAATGAAGCCTATAGGCTAAAACTGACTCCCAGTTTACAGCATTAGTTGAGATTTGTTTTTCTTGAGAAAATTTGCCATGTGTTGTACCTGATATCCAAAATAATCAATATTGAATCGAATTGTGAAATTTGTGTCAATACCCTAAACTTGAACAATGTAAAAACAGCACTTTTTTTTTTTTTTTTTTTTTAGATTTATATTTTTAAATACAGTATAATTGTGCTTCAAATACTAAAAAAAAAAACTACACCTTATTCTTGTTTAAAAGCATTTACATAATATATATGAATGTATATGGAGCGTGATAAAAAGGTGACCTTGAAATTGTGGCGTTAAAGGCGACGCGAGACGAGGAAAAATTTGAGTGCACCTAAATTTTGTGCTGGTGCACCTCAATAAAAAAGTTAGGCGCACCAGTGCAACCAAGGCAAAAAGTTAGTCTGGAGCCCTGTATCTATAAGAATATTACAAAAAAACATCATTCCACTCTGACAGATCCTGTGAAATCCGTGCTTGAAATCCATTCAGCACGATCCTCTAGTTTGTTAACATTGTCAGGGTCTGAATCGGGCTCAAACTGCTTTGAAATGGACGCCATCCTTAATATTTACATCCGAGTAGAGCTCGCGGATATGGAGGGGCGGGACATTTCCCGAACACGCACGAAGCGCTGCCAATCATAACACACTGGGCCAGCGAACCAATCACAGCACATTTCGTATTTTCGGAAGGAGGGGCTTCATCGAAAACAACGCGTTCAACCAGACTGGGGAGAGAAGAGCTGTAATAATGTAAAATATGTGACAAATAATGTGTTTTTTGAACAAAATTGGGATGTGGGATTGATAAGCTGATGTTAATGTCAATGTGGAGACGATTTGTAAAAAGAGCCAGCAGTGTCTATACGGACTACGGAGATTGTCCAAGGTTTAACGTTGATCGGTCTTTGATGACTTTTTACAAATCTTATATTGAGTCCGTTTTAACATTCGGTGTACATGTTTGTAAAAGATTTACACACTAAATTACTGGCAACACACGCACCTCACCAGACAGACTGAAGTGATTCCCCTTCACCTGAGATGCTAATGCAGTTAATCATTATGCAGAAAACTAAACATGTAGCCTTCAAAGTTATGCACAGAATAGAGGTCCTTATTTTCTGAGAGTTTATGTTAAAGTATTCCACAAAATGTCAACTACGTTAGTTCATTTTACATTGTTCATTTGTTTTTTGTTAGTGGTTTAAAACTAATTCATCCTGAATTCCAGATGGAAGAATTCGTACGGGTATATTGTATTTATTTGCATACATTGTTTGCAATGTTGAGAATTCTCAATAAAAAGTCAATTAGAAAAAATGAAAGATCTTTCTTCACACCTGACGTGAACAAAAGTGTCACAGACACCAACGAATATTAATAATTCAGTGGACAGGGCGGGTAATGATGCACATGTTTTCAAGCATTTAAGCTTAGAAGTGTTCACTAACACTAGAAGGGCCAAAGGACTCTTAACAGCAAACTGTGTAATTTAACCATTTATTAATTTGTATTATTTTACTTAGGCTGTTTTCCTGGCTCTTGTTGTGCATTTTATTGTTGTTTCCTTCAATGATTGTGTGGTTTCATGAGATATTTCTCTTCATGAGTTAGACATTGGAAAATGTCTCCATTTTAAGATTTTTATTGTCACAGGATGTTGTGAAACAGTGATTTTTGAATTGCTTTTGCTTTGATAATATCACTTAATAAATGTGACTTGACTTGCATCCATCAACGAGCAATACTTACGATTCCAGTACACCGGATAGCACTCTTTATTCCTCACATCCACTTCATAGAGTCCTCCTCTCACACACACTGCTTCGACACTGACGTCCACACTGTCACGTCTCTCGTCTCCACCACGCGTCTCCAGCGACGGGTCTCCTCCATCCAGACCATCATCTTCGAGAAGCTCCTCTCCACCACGGTTTAAAACCCTTTCCGGGTTTCGCTCTTTGAAGATGCGATACATGATTTCTATCCTGAGAGAGTCGTGTCCCATGAAGGGCTTCCATGTCTTTTTGTCCTCTTTGTAAAACCACCTGACTTCCTCCGGTCCCAGTTCGGTGACCACCTCGAACCGGCGTCTGGAGGAGCTGGGCCGTTTCCGAATGTCGAGCAGACGGTTCTTTTCCTGGTAGTCTGAGGCAGGGCTTGTGCAGTAACTCGTGTTGGTGGTGTGGAAGTAGCTGGCGACTGAAGTTGTGCTTAGGTCCAGATGGCCCGTGGGAAGGATGTCCGAAGCAGGACTTTTGAGTCTCAGCGCCATTCTGTCCCGTGGTGAAGTGTGTGTGTTCTTGTCTGGCTGCAATGTGTGCATCCCTCTCCCAATGGATTCATCGTAGAGCCTGATGAAGTCATCGCTCCAGTCTCTATTGCCAAAAGACAGTTTATTGCCAGGATTGTTAATAAACCGTGTCTTCTTAGTACGACTGCTCATAACTCCTTGCTTGTGGAGCGGCTGTCCCAATCGGAGCTGACCTCAGTGACGTCATTTAACAAGGGTTAAACCTCATGTTAAAACCTGACACTAATATTTAACAACTAAATTACATGTTATTAAGCTGGTTCTATCAGAGTTATGAACAAAAGTTCTTCCAGTGACGTTAACAGAACGTTCGTTCAAAGTTGTTTATACGTCATAGAACGTTCAGATAACATTCAAAAGTAGCATTCGCACAATGTTTACAAAATGATCAAATAGAACGTTCCCCTAACGTTCGCATAAACACGAGGAAACGTTTTAAAAACGTTTACAAATCTTGTCGTTTAGGAACGACGTTTCAGATCGTTAGCAAAACGATCTCAGAATGTGTTTTTGTTAGCTGGTATATAGGCTAACTTACCTGGCAATAAGACGTCATAGCACAGTAAAAAGTAAACTTACCACGTTTAAACGCACATTAAACGAGTCTATGTCATGCTATTTAGCTGTTCTATTAGCGACTAGGTAAAGAAGAACCGGTCTGACAGACCACACTGATTCCTGCACTACACCGGATTTTGCTCGTGCAAACCTGCCGTCAACCGGAGCGCGTCATTTCACAGAATCACGCTCTTCCGCTCTGTTTATCCGTAAATCAGTCCGTGTCGCAAATAGAAACATAAGCCTGTGCAGTATTCCAGTCATGCTGAGGGTGGAGGGAAATACACTGACCTGCTGGCACACTGACAAGTGCGGGATGTGCGATCTCACGTCACAGCCCACGTCGTGCGTAAGCGGTCACGTACGAGCGCATCCTGCACTTGTTGTTCCTGGGCAACCATAACCATCCAGGAGGAGGAAGACTGTTCACCTGCTGGAGCGCGCACGTACTCGTGAACGCGCTCGAGGCTACACGTGTTCAGTGGATTGCTTTGAATTCAAATTAATAAGGTTAAAATGTGATCTGTTATAAACATATATTTTTGCATTAAAAATTCAAGAACTGTAGGTTTTTAAATAGACGCTATGATGGCTGTGATGTGCAGTAATTCTTTCAAATTATGAAATATTACATCGTCACACTGAGAGATTGATGTTATTAAGGTTCATTGCTTTTTATTCTATTTTTTTTTTTTAAATAAATAAATAGGATATTGTTTGAACCTTGAACCTTAAACCTTGGTGCAAAACAAGAACACACTTCTCCATTTTGTATTTCCATGTCTACATGTGTTGTTTTGAATTCAAATTAATTAGGTTAAAATCATGGGCGTCAGTTTGGTTTGAAATGTGGTGGGGACAGAGACGCATTCGGAAGGGCATTTTCAAAAGTGCTGGGTACAATGACGCATTCATTATTTTTTCTCTTTCGCGCAGGTCATGGTTTGAAAGACGATGTCCTGTAGCTTACTGATTGAAATAAATAAAAATGTATGATGTCCGACCAAAAATGTGATGGTACTTTGGGTTTAATTGGTCGTAAAATGAGATCTAATATAATGTTGTCAGAATCGAGAATTTTTACGTGAATAAATAAATAGATCCGCCTGCGTTGCATATGTATTGTAATAGTCCAGTGGCAGAATTTTTGCCAAGCGTGTCGGGGGTTGAGGGTTCTAGTCCGCACTCGGTATAGTTTTTTCCCCTCATCAAAACCGATAATGTTTATCAGTGGTTGTATATCAAGAATCTTGATATACTTTATCACTGATAAACATTATCGGTTTTGATGAGGGAAAAAAAAACTATACGAGTGCGGATTAGAACCCAGAGAAGCAGGGACACGTTTGTGTGCATTTTGAATTGTGATTTCTCTGGAACGAATAGAATCTCTGCAACGGATTGAAGCGCGCGTCCGAGTGAAGACAACACATTTCAGCGCTAGATCGCGTCTTATTTAACAAATGAATGAAACGAATGCTGCTAGTTAACTGGAGATGTTTTATTTGTATTGTTACATCCGTGACGCGAGATGTTTCAAAAGTGGTGGGGACAATATCGACCCTGGCAAAAAGTGGTGGGGACATGTCCCACCCGTCCCCCCCGTAAATGACGCCTATGGTTAAAATGTAATGTGTTATAAACATATTTTGCATTAAAAATTCAAGAACTGTGTTTTCTTTATAGACCTAGGCTACATGTTGGCTGTGATGTGGAGTAATTATTTCAAATTATGAAATATATCATCATGTGGGGGTTGATGTTATTTAGGTTCTTGCTATTTATTTTTTTATTTTTTTATTAAAAATTGTTCAAACCTTAAACATTTTGGGTTGCCATCCAGGATCCTTAAATGGGCTTGGTGCATTATAACATGAAAACACTTCTCAATTTGTATTACCATGTCTACATGTGAATTTCATCTACAATGCATCCACAAAAATGCGTTAGGCCTACACAATCCCAGAAGTGACTACAGATAATGAAAATTAGGGGAAACCAGGAACAGCATTAATGATAGAATTTAGCAGAAATTAAGTGAATTTATTGTTATAGCTCACATTTTGGTTGAATTCTCTTTCTTTACTAAGGTAATAACAAAAAATGTTCACAAGATGCCGCTGTTGTCTTGCTACTGACCATCAACTGAGATGAGTTCTGTGTTTTGTGGTGTTTCTTGGTTCCTCTGACCAGGTTGGGTTGAACCTGTTGTCCAAGAATTTGGCGTCCTAAATTTAGATTGAAATCAAATTTGACAATACCTTTTAAATGGAATATATTACAGTATTTATAATAAATTATTTATCCGTGCACATACTTTTTTTTAAAATTCATGTTCCTGGTAATCTTGAATCAGAATATCTTTCTCTCTCAGCATGTCTTCTTTTCTCTGATGACGAGGGCGGGGCTATAACCTGTCACTCACATGAGATCAGCCAATAGCAAACCACAACCATCCAATCAATTCCTACATTTGTTCTTGTTCCAGAAGCGCTTCACTCAGATATACGCCACAATAAGGAAGAAAAGATTGTCGCAACTGCCATTTTATGCCGACTTTAAACCATTCATCAATTAAAGGTGCAGTGAGCAATTTCTGAGAAACTGTTGAAAGTGGATAGCACCACAACAAACTTGAGGCCAATCAGAAGTAGGGGCTGGGGGACCCTGGGCTTGAGTTTATGTTTGGGCCCTACTTACGCTACACATAATTATGTGCACAAATCACACAAATTACACAAAAATTCAAATATGCTTTGAGGTTACTAGAACAATTAATATGCAACATGCCTATAGTCAAAGTTTAGTGGTAGGCTAATATTAAATAGTCATAATAATACAATATAATGCAGGATGTGCTCTCTCGGTTGAGAGAAGATCAAAACTCTAATAATAAAGCTAAGAGAAAACAGTATTTTTAAATGAATTGTCATAGCTATCTGTCCTATATGTCAGATTCTTAAATTTATTCAACAAATTCAATCAGAATGCAAAGACACGGTGTATGGCTATACGACCAAATAAAAGGAAGTCTATAGGTCTATCAATCAAATCCATTTTTGGATCGACACATAGACTGTTTAAACATGTATGGATTTACACAGAAAATTATAACTGCATAAATTATGTTGAGATTAATGTTTTAAATGTAAAACTTTTATGTAGAAATATGAAATGATTGAAATAAATGATATATGCCTGTTCCTATATTGTGATGGCAGTGGAGAGAGCGCTCAAAACTCTCCAGAGCACATCATTTAGTGAAAAATTAATAGATTACCCCCACAACCTCGATCTCCTCCTGCACTGGTTCGATCTCCTCAATCTGGATTTATAAAAAATAAAATAACAGATTACTAGTGTGTGTGTGTTAGATATGAAAACAACAAAACAGATGGATGGATGGATAGATAGAGATAACTTAAAGGGTTAGTTCACCCAAAAATGTAAACTCTGTCAGTAATTACTCTCCCTCATGTTGTTCAACCCCGTAAGACTTTCGTTCATCTTCGGAACACGAATTAAGATATTTTTGATGAAATCTGAGAGCTGGATCACTCCTCCATACTAGTCCATAGGCTTCTTCAGGGATTGAACTTGCCGGCCTCGAAAAGTTATTAAAGACATCGTTAAAATAGTCCAAGTGACGACAGTGGCTCAATCTTAAGTTTATCAAGCGACGAGAATACTTTTTGTGCGCAAAAACAAACAAAAATAACGACTTTATTTCAACTCTTCATTTCCTTCTCTGTGGGCCTCGAGTTAGTTAACGTAGTGTGATTCCGTAGAGCTACGTCACACGTAGGTTCACTATTGGCCGACGCTGGTCATGTGCGTGATGCGTGTGACGTACAACAACAGAAGCTTACGCTATTACACTAGTGAACTGACTCGAGCCCCACAGAGAAGGAATATGAATAGGTTAAATAAAGTCGTTATTTTTGTTTGTTTTTGCGCACAAAAAGTATTCTCGTCGCTTGATAAATTTAAGATTGTTTTATTTTATTTTAACGATGTCTTTAATAACTTTTCGAGGCCGGCAAGTTCAATCCCTGAAGAAGCCTATGGACTAGTATGGAGGAGTGATCCAGCTCTCAGATTTCATAAAAAATATCTTAATTCGTGTTCCGAAGATGAACGAAGGTCTTACGGGGTTGGAACAACATGAGGGAGAGTAAATACTGACAGAATTTTCATTTTTGGGTGAACTAACCCTTTAAAATTCAAATTATTTTAAAAACTTAAAATTCAGTTTGGTTACCAAATGTTGTGACAATCACAATTATTGTTATGCAAGTTTTTTTTTTACTTCCCCCCCCAATCTACACCCCTTTAAAAAAAAAAAAAAAATTCTCACTCCAAGCTAAACTCAAAACTGTGTGTGTGTGTGGCAGCCCTGCCACACACACACACACACACACACACACACACACACACACACCCACCCACCTGTCCCACCCGCCTTTTAAAACAAAGTTACGCCACTGAGTTGTTATATAGCCTATATTTTAAATATTTTATTTTGGATGTATTCATTGTGATTATACTGGTTGGGTTTATAAAAGTTGTCAAATTTACAGGATATCTTTGCTTGGGGCATTTGGACACAAAGCTATGTCTATTTCCGAATGCAATCGCGTGCATCTCTGATGATTTGTGTGTGTTGAAAAAAACTTACTCGGTTACTAACGTAATCTCGGTTCCCTGAGAGTAAGGTTCCCTTGGGTTGTCCGGCAGATTCCACTCCTGCTCTGAAAGCCCAGTTAGGTCCTCTCTCAAACAAAGTATGCAAACAAATCAAAAACCTTGGAGTGATCTTTGACACTTCACTATTTTTTGACCAACAAATTAGTGCTGTTATTAGAGGAAGCTTTTTCCATTTAAGATCAATTGCAAAGTTGAAGAATGTTCTTTCAAGCAAAGATTTAGAAGTTGCAATTCATGCATTTGTAACATCACGATTAGACTATTGCAACTCTCTTTATTGTGGTCTTCCTCAATCTACACTATCACGATTACAAATTGTTCAAAATGCGGCTGCAAGACTTTTGACTGGGTCTAAAAAGAGGGATCATATTTCTCCTGTTTTGGCATCCCTTCACTGGCTTCCCATTAAGTTTAGAGTTGATTTTAAGATCCTTATGTTTGTCTATAAGGCGTTGTCTGGCTGTGCACCAAGGTACATTTGTGACCTTATTGTGCCATACTGTCCTGCTAGGGCACTTTTGATCGTCAAATCATTTGCTTTTAAATGTGTCACGATGTCACTACAAATTAAAAGGTGA